AAAGTGCTGGGATGACAGGCTGAGTCACCGAGCCTGGCCCTACCTTAAGTCTTAGTCGCGATCAGAATGAAGTTACACACCAAATACCACAGCCAAAAGGAAAGTACTAGTTCTGAATTCGTTTGAAAAGAAGTTGAAAGAAACAAAAAGCAACAGCACTCTGGTTCTGTAAGAGAATTTGGAAACTGCCCAAGAATTACAACCAAATTCTTTAATGAGGTAGATTTAGTAGCGTTTATACCTTCATTGAGACTGCCACCATCTTATGAGTTGCTTGGATGCCGCTGTCAAGAAAGTTGTACAGAATTAAGAAAATCATTTAAAAGAGTTGTAAAATTTTACAGTATTAAAAGAAATACAAACTGGGCATGGTGGCTCACACCTGTAATCCCAGCACTTTGGGAGGTGGAGGCGAAGGCAAGAGGACTACCTGAGCCCAGGGCTTCAAGACCCGCCTGGGCAACTTGGCGAGACCTCGTCTGTACAATAGATCAAAAATTAGCAGGGCGTGGCAGCACACACCTGTGGTTCCGGCTACTTGGAAGGCTGAGGTGGAAAGATCACCTGAGCCCAGCAGGTGGAGTCGGCAGTGGCCATGAGTGTGCCACAGCACTCCAGCCTTGGTGACAGAGTGAGACTCTGACTCAAAACAGAAACAAAATGAAATACAGACGCTAGAATAGATGTCGTGGAAACCTGGCACCATTTCACTATTTCTAAGTGTTTCTTGCAAAGGTTACTCTTAAACGTGAGCAAAGCAGTCACAGATGCTCACCAGAAGCAGTCATGAAGACGCGGCGTGGTTCATTGTGACTGTTGCATCACAAAGAACAGGTTCTGTTGAAGTAACTCACAGAAACATTCTGTCAACGAGCAATTCGCCGCAGCCGTCTGTCGAAGCGGGAGCGTGTGTGTGTTACAGAGAACAGAGAAACCTGGGGTCCAGGAGGCCACTTGCTGTGACTTCGTACCTACTATATACTGTAGCCATGCTGCGCCCCAGTTTCATCAAGGCGGTTGGCCAGCGACCTTTAAAATCTCAGCCTGTGATCCCGCGCCTCTGGGAGGCTGAGGTGAGTGGATTGCCTGAGCCTGCGGGCTCGAGACCTCATCTCGCCTGGGCAGGTGAGACCTCATCTCTACCATAAATCAAAAAAAATTAGCTGGGCCTGGTAGCGTGCGCCTGTAGTTCCAGCTACTCGGAAGGCTGAGGCGGAAGGGTCGCCGGAGCCCAGCAGGTCGAGGCTGCGGTGGCCGGGAGCGGCCACTGCACTCCAGTCTGGGCGACAGCGAGACTCCAACTCAAAAAAAAAAAAAAAAAATCCCAGCTCTAAGACGCTCATCTTCTGAAACGTGTTTCCAATGATGGCTGCCGAAACGCCACTCCCATCGAGGGCCGTGGGTAAACTAGGAGGCTGGGGCAGCCTGGTCTTTTAAACCGAAGGCCAAAATCCTCTTTCCAAAAGCCACGTGACTTTTCTGCCCTGTCTCCCGTCTTTAGTTCCTTATCTTGTCTGGCCACCTTGGTGTACAGATGAGAACCGATCTGGAGAGGGCAACGACTTGCCTGGGTTCCAGAAATGGTAAGTGGCAAAGCCAGGCCTCGCACCCGGGGCTGCTGTTCGCTAAGTCCGTATCTCCCTTCAGCGACACCACCCACTTGTCTTCCACCCTGACGGAAAGCAAAACACGGAACTGTGAGACAGGGAAGGGCGGAAGCAGCTGTTGAGATAATACCAGTGAGAAGTGTACGTTATTTATTTCAAAGATGTAAATACGGATGTGATAATAAATGTTAATGCCTAAAAAGACTAGCTTAGCAAGTGCGTGGCAAGCTTTCAATCAACCACCTTTCAGTAATCGCTGCCCAGGCCTTGTAGTTAAAGGCTGAGGCGGGGGAGGGGCAGAATCCTTTGGAAGGCAGAGAACAAATATGAGTTTGGTGGAAAGCGATGAACATTTCCCAGGCCAAGGAAATGCAAGGAGCTGAGGGAGCCGAGAGAAAGATGGCGTCGTTGGGCTCAGCGTTCACTGCATGTTCTTGAATGAAAGTCACGCCACGGAAACGGGCATTTTACACATCTTCGTTATGTTCTGGTGACAATTCCAAGGGCAGGGATGGGCTGAGCATCAGACCCCTGAGCCGATGACCCCGACATCTGTCGCCTGGCTCACTGCCGCTGTTAGCAAGAGGGTTGGTAAGATTCAGCAAGACCAGGGGCTTGTGGGCTTTATGACACCAGAATTATCCTCATGGGGGAACCACTCAAGTGCAGGAAGGCAAGTGGAAAAGAGATCCTTGGAAACAGAAGGCTACCAGGGGGCAGAGGGTGGGGCAAGACAGACCTCTGCTCCGGCAAGCAAGATCGCTTCGTGGTAAGGAAGTCGTCTGTGTGTCACTGGTTCTAGCCAGGAAGGAATGCTTCTGTTTCCAGGAATGGGATTGCATTTCAAAATCTATTAACTGGGAGCATGGAAGACGCACTGGAGCCAGCACCATACTCAGCTCCTCCGAGGGGGATGGCAGAAATGTCTCCTCCTGACTTATGTTACGGAACTCCTGGACGCCTGACTCATGGTAATAAAGACAAGCCTGGATCCCACAGTGCTGAAACAATGAACAGATCACACGCTAAACACAAACTCAAAGACCATTGAGAATAGATTAAGACCAAGGAACACGTTTATATTGAAAACATGGTAAATGTAGGTATCCTGAGATTCTCGGCTAGGAAAAGAACATAGTCATATCGATCTGGAAGGCTGCTGAAATGATTAAATAATACACACAAACTTCCTAACAGAGGGGCTCATACATCATAAATGCTTAACAAATGGGGGCTGCTTCTATTGGGACAGGAAGAGCAGCTTCACCAGCAAGAGCTTTCGGACTCTGAGCACATGAATGTGATCCCTGTGAGCCAGGCAGGCAGCCTGCGAGTGGCCCACTGTCTCGGTGTCACAAGAAAACCAAAAGTGGCATCTGGAAACCAAGTGAGGGGGAAAGGAAAAGCTACCTGAGTAGGCAATGGCCAGCAAAAACGCATTTCAACCTGACTTGGAAGTGGCATTCATAAGGCAAGGGCTCAGTCACAGGACACAGATGGGAAAAGAAAATCAAGGCAATTGGGAAGTTTTAAAAATGAAAGGAAATTGCTGTGACAGAAGCCCTACAGACAGGTGGAAGATGATTCCAAAAGAAACCCTAAGAGTCTCGGCATGTTGGGCCCATGCTTATCTGCTTCGAAAACAATTTAAGACCTGTCAGCCCTTCACCACCCGAGTCAGCACTCTTAATTTTCATCTTAGTTTATTTCTAGGGGGCTCATTTTTTTTTTCTGAGTTGAAGTCTCCCTTCCCTGCCCAGGCTGGAGTGCGGTGGCACACTCACAGCCACCCCAGCGTCGACCTGCTGGGCTCCGGCAATCCTTCTGCCTCAGCTTTCCAAGCAGCCAGTGACTGCTAGCTACCATGCCTGGCTGATTTTTGATTTATTGTAGAGACAAGGTCTGGCCAAGTTGCTTGGACTGGTCTCGAACCCGCGGGCTCAGGCAATCCACTTGCCTCAGCCTCCCAAAGTGCTGGGATGACAGGCTGAGCCACCCAACCCGGCCTAGGAGGCTCTTAATTACTTATCTTTGTTTTCCATCTCTGAATTCCTTGCTGCTCCCAGCATGGAATCTATTTTGAAGAGTTCCACTTTGAAGTCAGGGACTTTTTCCCCTATTCATCTAATCTGGAAATAAAAGATGGACAAAAAGATAAGAAAGTTTCTTCAGCCTTGGGAGCACATTTGTGGACAGGACATTCAAGGCTACGCACAGGAAAGGGCAAAGTACCAGGATGACTCCACGGGGAGCTGGAGAGAGGGACATCCTTGTGCAGCCTGCAGGCGACGTGTGCGCAGAGGCAGAGCTCTGGAAGGGTCGTAGAGGAGGGCGCCACCACAACGGCCCTTCCTCTTTGCATCAGCGGAAACTGTCGTGACTGCTGAAAGCTCCCAGAGGGCTTTCTAACAGACCTCTCCATTCTAGAGTTGCGAATCTACTCCCTTTCAGACATTCCAAGAGTTGGAAATTGAGAAAACTATTTCTTAACAGTAATGAACAAAGAAGAGCCAGGAATGTATTGCCGTTGCCCGCTCTCCTGATCCTGTTTTTCTTTCCTTTCAACACAACCCAACACGCTCCCCAAACTACATATCAATCTCAGCAGTGAAATGAATGAATTCTCTTTGAATCTTCCTGTACAAGGACTCAAAAACAGGCCTGGGGACAGTGCCCTGAAACCAGGCGAATCCTGGTTCCAGCCCCATCAGCTTTTCCATCCTGCAGGCACACTTAAGGCTCGAAAAATAAAATTAATGCCCAAACAGCCTGTGAGGCACCCTGATATGGGATCATTGTCCATCCTGGTCATACCAGGCACCAGATAAGACACCGTCAAGTCTTGCATGGGCCATGGAAGGGTTCTAACTGTGAACGTCGTGTAGTGACATCCGCAATGCTGGGGCAGGATCTTGGATCACACCCATGATGGCTTCTTTGTCAAGTAGCAAGGAAATGTTATTTTGGTTGCCTGGAAATTCTGTCCAGTCCACAGAACTGCACAACTCTTGGTTTTCTACCAAAGGCTGTGGGTCTCCACCCAGACAGTCTCTCTGTTACAGAGAAGAGGGGCGGCTGCACTTGCTAGATGGCCCAGTTTTGCATCGGATGCTCCGAGTTTGGTTTTAACCAGGCTTCCAGCGTGCCCGATGCCAATCTCCAGGCCTTGGAAGGCGAGGACCGGGGAGACTGCAGACCTCGCACCTGAGGGAGTGAAGCATGCTTCAGATACACGAAGCCTGGTCCCCGTGTTAGCACCAGTCTCTCGTCACTGAGTCCCTCACAGGCTGCATCACACCTTCTCTCAGAGACGAGGCCCTGGGTACCGAGGAGGAGCTGACGGGGAAATTGACGGTGGAGGCCACACGGCACCAGAGGCCAGGACAAGGCCGTGGGGGAGCTCGGCGAGCTGCCTGGGCCTGGCCGGCCTCACGGCCCCACCTGCACCCCGATCCTGGGCACCACCTCCTCAAGCCACAGCAGGTCCAGCGAGGCCGAGGCGCGCGTCTGCCGGCGGTGGATTCGGCGCAGCCGCAGCAGGTACAGGACGATGGCCAGCAGCACCACCAGAATGCAGGCGAAGAAGAGATAGTGGTTGTACACGAAGGAGAGGCGGAGCCAGCTGCCGTGGGCCGGCCGGGCTCCTTCCTGCCGGAGATCCCTGGGAGGGGTGGGGGGGAGACCCCGTTAGTTTCAGAGGGAGGCACCGATGCGGATTTGAAAGGCCAATGGTGCTGCCCAGGGATTCCACCCACAGACATCCCATGGCCCTGGCTCCGCAGGGCAAGCCTCGCGGAAGGGCGTCCCCGCCCAGGGCAGTTATGAGACTCCTCCTGGCTGCCCTTCTCACGACCTGCAGGTGGGTCTCACGGGCTGGGCCCTCAAGGGCATCAACCGGAAGGCCTTTGAAACTGATGCCCAAAACCAACAGAGAGACTAGACGGGCCATCTGTAGCATGAATCTTGGAATACAGGCTGCAAAACCGGCACTGATGAGAATGGGGGATCCCTGATGCAATCAAGACGTAGACACGACCTGCCTTCTTGCTATGTTTCCTTAGGATCTAGGAGATATATATATATATATATTTTGAGTTGGAGTCTCACTCTGTCAGGCTGGAGGGCAATGGCACGCTCCCAGCCACCGCAGCCTCAACCTACTGGGCTCCGGCAATCCTTGCGCCTCAGTCTTCCACGTAGCCGGAACTACAGGCGCGCGCTACCATGCCCGGCTCATTTTTGATTTATTGTAGAGATGAGGTCTCGCCAAGTGGCCCAGGTGGGTCTCGAACCCACGGGCTCAGGCAGTCCTCTCACCTTGGCCTCCCAAAGTGCTGGGATTACAGGCTGAGCCACTGAGCCCGGCCAGATCGAGGATATATTTAAAGAAAGCTGTTACCTGATCCATTGTGTTATAATCTAGAACACATAAAGAGACAGGAAGACCCAAGTGCAGCGGTCTGCCCAGCTAGAGCAAAGCCACTGGTCAGTGGCTGTGACCCCAGAGCTCGTCGTGTCTTGTTCCACCCACAGTGTCTTTTAGAATGGGACTCTAAGCCGAAAGACTTCCTATCAAATGTGGACTTCCCGCTTCTCTAGACAAGTGCGAACAGGCCCATGCCAGGACAGCACTTCTGCATGACATAACCAGCCTGTGTGTTAGGGCACATTCTCCAGGGCCCAACCCCCACCCAGCCCACTCCCTCACTTCTGTCACCGGCCCTACTTGTGATGGACACCAAAGATAGAAAATCCATGTTAGTTTATCTGGGCCAGTCCAGGGGAGAGAGTACCCGAAAATGGTCCCAAGTATCTGAGCACACCTGCAGCAAGGCTTCGACTAGCACAGCTTGAGGGAAATGTCCCCCTGAAAATCTCTCATGTACCAGGCATGGTGGCTCATGCCTGTAATCCCAGCACTTTGGAGGCGAAGGCAAGATCGCCTGAGCTTAGGGGTACGAGACCAGCCTGGGCAACCTCGTGAGACCTCATCTCTACAGTAAATAAAAAAATTAGCCAGGCATGGTGGTGTGCAGCTGTTGTTCTAGCTACTTGTAAGGCTGAGGCAGGATTGCCTGAGCCCAGCAGGTCAATGCTGGGGTGGCTGTGAGCATGCCACTGCACTCCAGCCTGGGTGACAGAGTGAGATTCCAAGTCAAAAAAAAATAAAAAAGAGAAAACCTCTCATGGCCTTTGTTCTGACCCAGAAAGCCTGCCAGGCCAGTGACACAACTTCTAGAGTGTTGCGACCCATTAGGAAAGATGCCCTCTACCGACAGCCTTGCCCGGGTTTCCAGTCAGACAGGCCTTCTGGGTAACAGGAATGACATTCCCATTTACAGCCAGTGTCTTGAGAGTGATCGTGAGAGCTCAGTTCTACACACTGACTGGCTGTGGGTGAACAGGTAACGCCGAGTTTCTGAAATGGCGAAGCTGAGTAACAGACTCTAGACCAATAACGCTCAAGCTTCTTTCTGTTTCAACATGCCTGGTTAGAAACAGCGACTCGTGGAAGTGGTGGCAGTTGGCTTGGTTTTTGTGGGGTGGGAGGAGGGTCACTTAGAAAGCCTCACATCCTCTGAATTCAAGCTACCAGCGTGGCCGGTCCCGCTTTACCTGAGAGGTAAGAATCGTGTTTTATACAGAATGGCTCCCAGCGTCCACTGCACCTCTCGGTCGTACACCAGCTGGGCTGTCCGCAGGTTTGGGTAGTCATAGGGAAAGTGGAATCCTTCGTGGAGGACTTGGTACATCCAGGCTGACTTGAAACACTGGTATCTGTGTGGCCAAAATGATCAGTGATTACATTTTAAAAAGAAGATCTGAATGCTGCTTCTGCGGTAAGCCACGCCGGATTTCCACCACATGGCAAGACCGCCTCTCCCCACTTCACCCTTCTCACCTCTAGGTGGCGCCAAATCCGAGCCCACTTTAGCTGGAGTTTACCGCCAAAATGAAGATGACCTGTTGGTGTGGTATTGAGGCTTGTGTTTTCCTTTTCTCTCTTTTTGTTGTTTTTTCTTTATTTTTTTCTCTCTCTCTTTTTTTCAGAGAGTCCCTGTCTTCCCTATCCACAACTGTCTTTATAAGGCGTCTGGGATTTGCTTCAAAATCACCCACTTGCAGGACGAGGGGAGGGTGGGTGAGAAGTCAGATGAAACCAAGACTGGCCAGGAGCAGACGCCGCAGGCCGAGGAGTGGGGGACGGGCACACGGGGGCTCGTGACGCTCTGGGAACTTTGCTCATACTTAAAATTTTAAAACTAAAACGTTTAAAAAAACGGAAGGACCAATGAACCAAACTACAAAATGTTGATGTTGCTTGAAGTTGTGTGAAAGTTACATGAGGGCTTCCGTTATTATTCTCTCTGCTTTCTGTTTGTTTGGTATTTTGTATAATAAAGTTTTTTGAAAGATCATCACTTTTGATGTCAAGCCACTTGGTGAGAACGCTCTTCGACAGCCACCGATTTCCCTTGGCTTTGCTAAAATAAACTATCCTGGCCCCCCGCCCCTCAGAGAGCCAGCTCTGAAGTAACCAGGTGCCCCTCCAGCGAAACACCCCATCTGACCGGTACTCACTCTCTGCCTCATTACGGTCTGCTCTGACGTTTTAAGGCCGCATCTGAGGCGGAGCAGGGAGGGACTTACTTGAGCCGATGCTCATCTGCATGGGACGAGAAGAGGCCGCTCTTGAATCTCTGCGTTAGCACCGACCACGCCATGCCGCAGTAATCCTGGAAAGCAGAAACGGCGTGACCCATGCTGAGCTCGCTGCGCCAGGCCGTCTTCACTCTGTCGCCCGTGTCTATGGCCAAGCCAGCCCGCAAGGCTCCGAAAGCTCTCAGGGCTCAGAGGAGGTAATGTGAGGGCGAGGAATGGCAACACCAGAGGCCAAAGACGGCCTCGCTCTCCTCACACGGGACCGGCAGGCGCAGGGAAAGCACATGCCCAGAGGGCCCAGAAGCCTGTCTGGTGCCTCCGTGTTGCCATTCTCTCCAGAAGCATCGCTCCTTGCGGTGTGTTCAGCAGACTTCACTGAGGGTCTGCTGTGTGCCACGTGTTACTCTAGGTGCCAGGGGTCAAGCAGTGAATAAGACAGACGGAGACACCTGTCCTCATGAAGCTTCCACCTCAGTGGTAGGAGACAGACGAGAAATAAATACACACACGGACACATAGGAGTATGTGAGATGACCTAAGTGCTCAGGAGAAGAACAAAGCAGGAAGGGCAGTCAGTCACATGGGAGGACTGTCGTTCTGGACAGGGTGGCCACGAAGGCAGCTCTGGGAAGAGAGCACTTGAGTCAGAGTAAAAAAGTAAAGGAACAAAGCACCTCTCTTCCTAGGGACAGAGACCATGTTAAGCTACCAGCAAGCAGCAACGTACGACGAAAATCCCAGCACTTTGGGAGGCCAAGGCAAGTGGACTGCCTGAGCCCATGGGTTTGAGACCAGCCCGGGCAACTTGGCGAGACCTCATCTCTACAATAAATCAAAAATTAGCCAGGCGTGGTAGTGCACACCTTTAGTTCTGGCTACTTGGAAGGCTGAGGCAGAAGGATCACCAGAGCCCAGCAGTTCAACACAGGGGTGGCTGTGAGCATGCCACTGCACTCCAGCCTGGGTGACCAAGTGAGACCCCAACTCAAAAAAAAAAAAAAAAAAAAAAGGATGTTCGTGATAAGAGGAGGGGCCAGGCCACAGAGTTGGGGAGCCCTGGGATCTGGAAAGGAGGGGAGATGGGGGGCATTTCAAGAGTGGGAGCAGAAGAGCCCACACACCCGGTGATCCGCAGGACTCCTGGGATTGCCTTTTGGGAGCAGAACAGTGGCTGCAGGCACTATCCTAGCAGAAGTCTTACCCAAGAGGGGTTTAGAATCTAAGAAAGCAGAAAGAAATGAATAAAGATGAGGTTGGATTCTTCCCACAGAGTTTCTCTGATGAAAATGATTAGAGGGAGACAGAAGAATGCAAAGAGCTCACTGTAAATGAAAGCGGGAACTACGGAAGGCTGGCTATGCGTTCACTGCCTTCCCAACCAAAGACTGAAGCCCATACAATGCTCAAGTCCTATGTAAGCGGTGAAGCCCCAAAACAGAATTTATGAACGAACTATGTAGCTAGTCTTACAGCTTTAAACTTCAGTCACCTTCAAAGTCCTCTCTGTTGTATGGAAGACACCTACCAAGAGCTTTTCCCCTGCTCAAAACAGTTTTTGAACTTGTCAGTTTTGTTGCCTTTTAGGGCTTCTGCTGTGTTTTGTTTCACTTCTTCCACATCAGCAACATGTTTCCCCTAGAGGACTTTGTTCATCCAAGGAAACAAAAAACAAGTAACTTGAGGCAGACTGGGTGAATGGGGTGGGGGGGCACGGGGGTCATGCTGTTTCTGGTCAAAAACTGATGAACACACAGCATGGCACGGGCAGGTGCTTCGTCGTGGTGGAAGAACCAGTCACCTGCTTGTCACAACTCGGGACGTTTCTTCCGCAAATCGTGACACAACCTTCTCAGTGTTGATCGTTTGATTTGGAGGAACAAATTCCAAGTGTACAACAAGGGCCTACCCTCTGAGAGATAATTCCGGTTTCTTGGGTCCTCCAAAAATGATCCTCATGACCTCCCTGGAAGCAAGGACTGAGCACTACCCACGGCTGTATCGCATGCCATTTGTGTCTGAGTTGGGCTCTCCCCGTGCTGCCCAGGCTGCAGTGCACTGGTGTGATCATGGCTCCCCACAGCCTGCCCAAAGTGAATGTTCATCCCTTCTGTTGTAAATTTCAACAAGACTTTCACCATCACGACTTTCCACAACATCTAATATTCCAAGTGACCCCACATCACTCTGGCCTCCTAACAGCTCAAACCAAGAAAAAGAAAATGGACGTATCCACCTGGGTGACATCCTCGCCAAAAGCACATGACAACTGAGAACACCCAGCCAGGGGAAGTCCTGGAGGTGACACTTTTGGGCCCTAACCCCAAGCAAGACTACTGGAAAACTGAAAGAGGACGCATCTGCCGCCACCACAGTTTTACACCTGCGTGACAGTTTGAGGACAGGACGCCTTGGGACCCTGAACGCGACGGGTCAGAAGGCGGAACAGCACAGCTCGCGCCTTGACTTCCCCGAGGCCACTTCCTCATCTGTAAAGCGAGAACTCGAAGCGCCCTGCGAAGGCTCAGGCGAGCCCGGACTACAGTGCCTGGCGCAGTCAGGCAGCCTCCAGACGCGCCGCCAGCAGGCGTCACCGTGACTGTGAATGCTCACCTGAGCCGCCTTGGCGAACGTCGGCCCGTGGTAGCGGCCGCCGATGCGCAACACGTCCTCCGTGCAGTAGAAGAACTCGGAGAAGCCGTAGAACTCGCTGTTGTTGAAGTCGATGGGCGACTGGTAGATGCCGTTCAGCGAGGCCTGGCTGGCGTTGGAGCGGGCCAGCAGCGGGCTCAGCAGGGCCCCACAGCTGGCCCAGTCGCCCCGGCCCCGCACGTGCAGGGCCTGGCGGCTCCTCTCCACCACGTCCGTGAGCCCCACAGGCAGGCAGGGATCCAGAAAGGGGTTGTCGGGCGTCAGGCCTGTCTTCTGGCCCAGCAATCTGTCACGGTGGCAGAAACAGGCAAAACGCGTCAGCCTGTGCTCAGCCTGGTCTGAGGCTCGCGACGCCCTCCCACTCGTTCTGCGCTCATCTTTGCGATGTCCCCAGAAGCAGGGATGGAGCACCGCCATGCAGCGGCATCGCACGCGCTTTTTTTCCTTTGAGGTGGGGTCTCACTCTGTTGCCCAGACTGGAGCGCAGCGGCACAGTCACGGCTCACTGCAGCCTCAAACTCCGGGGCTCAGGCAGTCCTCTCACCTTAGCCTCCCGAGTAGCTGGGACTACAGGCATGTGCCACCATGCTCAGCCGATTCTTTGATATTTTGTACAGATGACGTCTCATTGTATTGCCCAGGTTGATCTTGAACTCCAGGGCTCAAGCAATCCTGCTCTGGCCTCCCAAAGCGCTAGGATGACAGGCATGAGCCACCACACCAGGCCCATCTGCACATCGAATGTGAACACATTAAATTTCGGAGAAAGAGAGTGTGAGAAGTATGGCGGTGCCTGGTCTGGCCCCTTCTGCGGTCAGCATGCGTATGTTCCCGTGTTGAGTGGCCCGGGCAGGGACGTTCATTCCCACAGGCCTCTTAAAGCTGCATGGCTCTTACCATGCTGAGTGTGGTGCTAGTGTTTGAAGATGCAACTGGCAGCTGGGCGTGGTGGCTCCCACCTGTCATCTTAGCACTCTGGGAGGCCGAGGCAAGAGGATTGACTGAGCCCAGGGGTTCGAGACCAGCCTGGGCAACTTGGTGAGACCTCGTCTCTACAGTAAATCAAGAAAAATTAGTTGGGCGTGGTGGCGCACACCTGCAGTTCCAGCTACTTGGAAGGCTGAGGCAGAAGGATTGCCTGAGACCAGCAGGTTGAGGCTGTGGTGGCCGTGAGTGTCCAGCCTGGGCGACAGAGTGAGACTCCAACTCAAAAAAAAAAAGACGCACCTGGCAGGAGGTGAGGGGGAAAGCACTGTGGGGAGGATGTCCTGAAGAGGGGACTACGTGGCAGTGCACTAGCCATGGCTGGCGATGGGGCACGTGCCCGCTGTAAACAAGCGGGCTGGGACGGAGCAGGAGGAGCAGCAGCTCCAGGAAACACCTGCAGGGCCTGGCGCCTGGGGAGGTCTGATTCCCCCATGGCCACACAGTTCCCGTTGTGGGACGTCTACACTTGCCTAGCGACTGGATTCTCATGCCTGAAAGAGATTAACATGCAGGTCCGGCCAAGGACAGAAACAAAGTAGAGGCCAGGTAAGTTTGCCCGCTGCAGTGAATCACCCATCACTTTTCAAACAGACGTAGAAGAGGGACTTTCCAGGATGAAGCTGACCCAAGGAACACCCTCATTTGAGGGTGGGAACAGAAAGACTTTGGAACGGCTGGAACCCAACTGTGTCGAGGATGAGACACCAACTCTAAGGAACACTCAGAGCCTCGTCACGAAGAAGAGAACCCCGCTGTTTTTTGCCACCCAGGAAGCAGAGGTTTCTCTCGCAGATCAGCAGCGACCCCCAACATGCCTTTTCCTCATCGGTCACCTGAATAGGTGACTTAGCAACTTGGCAAGAAGATGCCCTCGTGTCAAAGAAGATGCAGCCTGGTGAGAGGTTCAGAGGCTCCGGAACGCAGCAGACAGAAGGAGGAACAGCAGAGCAACACAGGAAGAAGCAGGAAAAGGAAGCACAGCCAAGGGAAGGAACCAAACTGGTGCGAACTGTCACAGCAAAGGTCCCTGCCATGTCGGCATGGCCTCAGGAGCAAGCCGAAGGCCTCAGCTCAAGCAACGTGTGCATGGACTTCGGGGCCCTTTCTGGACACACCGCTCGGTCTTAACGCAGCCACCAGTCGTCCAGCATCCTCTCCAAATGCCTTGAACTCTTAGTGACTGAGACGGACATGGACAAAAAGGACAGCGAGGCTCTACAGAGACGGCAGCCACTCGCTGTGGAAGAGCGAGCCCAGACGGTGTGCGGCAGCGCCTCTCCAAGCTGGTGTCTCTAGCTAAAGGGCACATTTTCCAGGAGAAAAGAACTCCGCCTTCCATTGTCCTTCCTTCACTGTGCACGATGATGAGTAATTTTAATACTGAAAGGAGCCCCACGACGATGTGTACATTGTGATCTTCATCTGTGCTCAAAGGGAGAATCCACGATCTGTCTGATGCTGGAGGAAAAACCGGCTATTCTGGACTCCATGAGGGACCGTCATAAATGTTCGTTTTACCTGCACATGCTTTTCATCTCTCCGCCCACGATGGAAGTGGTCTACTACGTGTCTGGACGTGGGACACAGCAAGAAATCACAATAAGCTGCTGTGACTTTTTTTTCTTTTGAGACAAGGTCCCACCTGTTGCCCGGGCTGGAGTTCAGTGGCACGATCAGAGTTCACCACAGCCTTGCATCCGTATTTGCTGGAACTACAGGTATGTGCCACCATGCCCAGCTATTTTTTCTATTTTTTGTAGAGACGAAGTCTCACTTTGTTGCCCAGGCTGGTTTCGAACTCCTGGTCTCAAGTGATCCTCCTACCTCAGTCTTCCGAAGGGTGTCACCATGCCTGGCTTACTATACTTTTTCTGAGTCTTAGTAACCGATCAGAATGCACTCTCACCCAGACTAGGAGAGACTGCTAGAAAAGGGTCCCTATGAGATGCTACCCCACTGGCAGGGGTGGTTGAAAAGGAGGAACAAGGTGGCCGGGCTCAGTAGCTCAATCTGTAATCCCAGCACTTTGGGAGGCCAAGGAGAGTGGATTGCCTAAGTCCCCAGGTTCGAGACCAGTCCAGGCAACTTGGCGAGACCTCGTCTCTACAATAAAAATAAAAAATTAGCCGGGCGTGGTTGCATGTGCCTGTAATTCCAGCTACTCGGAAGGCTGAGGCAGAAGAATCGCTGGAGCCCAGCAGGTTGAGGCTGTGGTGGCCTTGAGCATGTCACTGCACTCCAGCCTGGGAGACAGAGTGAGACTCCAACTCAAAAAAAAAAAAAGAAGGAGGCAAAGGTTTATCTGTCTTAGGAGGGTGTGACTCCCTGGTATCTGCAGCCTGTCAACGTTCCACTTTAGAAACTCAGATCCCATGGCAAACGTACCTGTTTTTGTTAAGCGTTTCATTCAGCACAAGGTCTTCGTAGCGCTGTCGGGCAAAGTTGCCCCCAAAACCCAGGAAGGTGGTGACATAAACCCTGTACACGTGCTCCGTGTGTTGCACGTCACAGCCCAGGTTGAACTCGGCCAGCAGGATCTTGGCAGCTTCCTCCTGTAATGCAGTATCAAGAGAAAAGGGGAAATTTTAGTTTGGGCTGATTTCTTTTCTTTTTTTTATTTGAGTCGGAGTCTCACTCTGTTGCCTAGGCTGAAGTGCAGTGGCACGATCACGACCACTGCAGCCTCCACCTGCTAGGCTCAGGCAATCCTTCCGCCTTAGTCTTCCAAGTAGGCAGAACTACAGGCACACACCACCACGCTCGGCTAATGTTTTGATTTATTGTAGAGACGAGGTCTCACCAAGTTACCCAGGCTGATCTCGAGCCCATGGGCTCAGGCCAACCTCTCACCTCGGCCTCCCAAAGTGCTGGGATTATAGACATGAGCCACCACGCCTGGCCTGGCTGATTTCTAGAAAGCTCCAACACTGCTAACACACTTCATTTTCTGTGACTATTCCTTAAGCTATCTTGCAGCAGTCTGTCATCCTCATAGCATTATTTACATAAAGACATAAAGTGACAAGACTGTACCAAGAAGTACAAATTAGAAGCTAAATTAGGGACTAAACACTCAATTGGAGACTATCTAGTTTATGTAGGGGGCAGGATTATTTCAGATGATATAATTTTCTTGCCAGTACTTTTCAATATTTTCCCATTTTCCACAATGGGAATGTGTTATATTTTTCTTTTTAAATTAATATATCTTATAATATATATTCATATATATCTTATATATTAACATATATATGTATATATTCTTTTAAATTGATATATTTATGTTATAAATATATATTATTTATATTTATACGTATGGTATAGAGATGAGGTCTTGCTATGTTGCCAAGGCTGGTCTTAAACTCCCAGGGTCAGCCGGGCTTGGTGGCTCAGCATGTAATCCCGCGCCTTTGGGAGGCTGAGGTGAGTGGATTGTCTGAGCCCGTGGGTTCGAGACCCGCCTGGGCAACTTGGCGAGACCTCGGATCTACAATAAATCAAAAAAAATTAGCTGGGCGTGGTAGCACGCCTGTAGTTCCAGCTACTTGGAAGGCTGAGGCGGAAGGATCGCCGGAACCCAGCAGGTCAAGACTGCGGTGGCCGGGAACAGCTACTGCATGCCAGTCTGGGCAACAGAGTGAGACTCCAACTCAAAAAAGACAAAACAAAAAACCCCCAAAAAACTCCCAGGGTCAAGCCATCCTCCAACCTCAGCCTCCAAAAATGTTGGGATTATGGATGTGATTCACTATGCCCAGCCTGGGAATGAATTATTTTTAAAATTAGGAAAAAAATCCTTTAATAAATATAACTGTAAGGAATCTGGGGGATCATCATGAGATCTATTCTGTGGTCTTTTCTTTCCAAGAAACCCTGATGTGGCTCGTGACAGGTCTGAGGTTGGGAAACCTCAATTTCATAGCACCTCCAGGGGAAATGTGCTGTACTTTCTTTTGTGGGGGCACCCCAGGTGCAGAGGTTGAATTAGTCACATCCTCAGCTCAGGGCACACTGTCATGGCAAAGCCTCTCTTTGTTTTAGGTATTTATTCCCTCTTACCTACTCCCGTCCCACCCCCTGCCATGACGATCATTCTTATGTCTTCAACATGTAAGTTCTGTGCATGGGTATTGTTACAAAGCGGAGATTATTTAGAATGTTTTTAATTTGTGAAAATGCTATTGTGTCCAGCAATTCCACTTCTAGGCATATACCCAAGAGACCCAAAGGCTGTGTATGTGATGTTCACAGCAGGCTCCGGACAGCCCAAGAGTGGAACCCACCCAAATGTCCGTCAGTGGATGAATGGGTAAACAAAACGTGGCACCGTCAGTTACACAAGGGCATGCCACTAGCCACACACGGAATGAAGAGCTGCCATATACCACGACATGGATGAACCTCGGAAACATGATGCTAAGTGAAAGAAGCCAAACACAAACACCACATACCGCATGAGTCCATGTATGTGAAATGCCCAGACTGGCAAATGTACTGATCCAGAGCGTAGATTAGTCGTGATCAGGGCTGGAAAGAGGGGGTGCCGGGGAGTGACTGCCAATGGGGAGTGAATACAGGCTTTCTTTTGGGGTGATGAAATGTTCTGGAATCCAGTAGTGGTGGCTGCACCACTTTGTGAATGTGCACAACTTTGTGAATTGTAAAAATAGATATATGTCAGGCATGTAGAGTTAAATTTTTTTAAATGCTACTGTGTTGTCTCATTGTTTCTCTCCTTTTTTCTTTTTTTGTTTGGAGAGTACACTTGCATATCACATATATAGCAAATTACTTTTATCATGAATATTCAAGCTAAATTACAACTGGACAATATAAAACATGTAATTCAATTAAACAATGAGAAAAGACCTAAAGAGAAACCTCTAAAATAAATATAAAAAATGATTGCTGGGTGCAGTGGCTCACGCCTGTAATCCCAAGACTTCAGGAGACTGAAGCAAGAGGACTGCCTGAGCCCATGGGTTCGAGACCAGCCTGGGCAACTTGGTGAGACCTCGTTTCTACAATAAATTAAAAAATTAGCCGGGTGTGGTGGCGCGTGCCTGTGGTTCCAGCTACTTGGAAGGCTGGGACAGGACTACCTGAGCCCAGCAAGTTGAGGCTGCAGTGGCCATGAGTATACTACTGCACTCCAGTCTGGGTGATGGTGAGACTCCGACTCAAAAACAAAATTATCAAGTTGATTTTTCATTGGGAAAATGTACATATAAACAACAACGAGGCACTACTACTAACCTACTGAAATGAGTGCCATGCAAAGCACCCACAATCCAGTGGCAAAGAGGAATCGTATTTCTCTCCTTTTCCCCATGCACCGATGAGATTCATCTTTAAAAGCCATTACATTGTTGTGTGTAAACTTTCTTTCTTTCTAAACCAGTGTTACTTTCTAAATCTGTACACAAAAAAGTTTTTTTTTTTTGGTTTTAAACTGTACTTTGTTACTATCACCTTCTTTTTTTTTTTTTTGAGTTGGAGTCTCACTCTGTCACCCAGGCTGGAGTGCAGTGGCATACTCATGGCAACCCCAGTGCCGACCTTCTGCCTCAACCTTCCAAGTAGCCGAAACTACAGGCGTGTGCTACCAAGCCCGGCAATTTTTTTAAATTGTAGAGACGAGGTCTCGCTAAGTTGCCCAGGCTGGTCTTGAACCCCTGGGCTCAGGCAATCCTCTCACTTCAGCCTCCCAAAGTGCTGGGATGACAGGCTGAGTCACAGCACCGGTCTATCACCTTCTTTTTTAACCCATCACCTATAAGCATGCAAATAGTCCTCTGAATGGGACTTTTCCCACTGCAGGTTGTGTATCAATAAGTCGATGATCACGGTCATTCAGTATGGAGTTCTCTCTTTTTTTATAGTGTTTCTAAGCAGTGTGCCACACACACCACAGAAGTAGGAAAGAACATCTTTAATAAATTACCTTCTTCATTGCAGAGAATTTCTGAAAATAAAACAGAAGAAATGCTGAGCCATGCCTTTGATGAGCCCCAAAGGACCACAGCTCCATCGGCTCCCATTTGAAGAATTAGTCCCCCGGAATGTTCTGGCCTCTGTAGGGCACTTGATAACAAGATCCAACCAGGGCTCCAAACAACTGCACTAGGAAAGCCGCCTGCCACTCTCACTGGCCAATTCTTTAGACCTAGTCCTGCTGGCAGAGAGGGCAGCGATAGTCTGTTTCACCCACGGGGACATGCAGCAGTTGTGGAAGGAGTGACTACATTCTCACCAGACTACAACACAATCAATCCTCTTGTTGGTTTTCAGCTTGGCATCTAAGACAGGCGTCCAGACCCTGCAGATGGCGCCCATATCGCACTCCACGGCCCAGCTCCACAGGGCCACCGCATTCCACTTCTTGAGAGAGAACATTTTGTCGCCTCCCGACTTGGAGGCTGCGCCCCCAAAGTGAGAGGCCAGAGTGCAGGGCTCCTCACCATCTTCCATGTCAGCCATGGTGGCGAAGTCATTTCTTTAAGATTTTAAGCCCCCGTGCTACTTGTCACCCATATCTTAGTATCAGAACCATGCCTCATTTTACCCGTTGAGTACTCACCAACAAACATAGACTGAAAAGTCTCACAGCCCAGTTAGTTTCCCAAATCTCCAACCCTGGCATGAAATGTTGACTGCCAACAGCACATTTCTAGCAGTGTTGAGGATTTTTCTTTTTTTTTTTTGAGTTGGAGTCTCACTCTGTCACCCAGACTGGAGCGCAGTGGCACACTCCCGGCCACCGCAGCCTCGACCTGCTGGGCTCCGGCAATCCTTCCACCTCAGCCTTCCACGTAGCTGGAACTACAGGTGCGCGCTACCATGCCTGGCTAATTTTTGATTTATTGTAGAGATGAGGTCTCGCCAAGTTGCCCAGGCGGGTCTCGAACCCGTGGGCTCAGGCAATCCACGCACCTCGGCCTCCCAAAGCGCTGAGATTACAGGCTGAGCCACCGAGCCCGGCCGAGGATATTTCGACACGTGTTCCTTGGATGTCCCGAGGTCAACATACCGCGAACTGAACTCCCTGGTCTGAGGTCTTCAGAGCCAGGAGGCCAGATGGACGCTCCCGTCCCGACCTCGGGCACCACACGACCCGCTCCGCGTCAACCCCGCCCTTCCCTGGGGCCCTTCTCTCAGTGATGGTGCCGCACCCTTCTGGCTGCCTGGGCTAGGCCCACAGCTTCCTCGGCCTACCCACACTGCGTCCCTCGCCCGGTGACACTGGCTGTTCATCCCAAACACCCCTTGGCGCCTGCCCGCCCTTCCGTTCCACTGACAGGCCTGGCTCTGCCCCCCTCGCCGCTCACCCCGGTCCCCTGACCTGCGTTTCTTTCTCCTGGACGGATCAGATCACAGTCACACAACACGCAGGGCGGGAGGGAGCTGGAGTTGAATCGTTTGGCGGATGAGGAAACTGAGGCCCACGGGCCTGGCCTGGCCAAACCCTTTGCTGGTGCCCAGCCCCAAGGCGGCCCCGAGCACTGCCCTGGTCTGACGCCACTGGACCTCCCAGCTCGACCTCCCACCGTGC